TTGAAATTTAGCACGCTTTTATTCTTTACACGGTATCAGAGACTCACACAAGTTCTTCTTCATAAAAACTTTTTGTCCACCCTTTTTTGCCCACTTCCTCTATTTCTTCTCGTCATCCTCTCCAATATTCTCACTAATGAATGTAAACACGATCACCATTGTTATCCAAAATAGACTCCACCTCTGATAATCTAGAGCAAATCAATGCTAGCACTGAACTCCCTCTTTGCGTCACCTCTTCTAACTACTTTTCATAGCTGGTGCAATTCACCTTTCCTATGATCTTAATCTCATGCGATTTTTTTGATGGCACATCTTGTCTCCTCAAACTATCACTACCATGTCCAAACCCCAAAATCATGCCTTCCCATGTTCGTTGTCTTAAAAAAGCTATATATAGCCTCAAATAGGCAACTTATGCCTAGTACACTGAGCTTAAAGGTTTTCTTCTATCTTGAGGCTTTACAAATTCTAAGAGTAACCCATCTCTCTTCCTGTTCTACTCTAAATCCATTAGCGTCTAGTTCCTGGTCTATGTTGACACCTCCTTGTCATCGAAAATGATAATGACGTTGTATCACATTTTATTGATGCCTTCTTTATGTGCTTTTAGATAATAAAAATTAGGGTCTCTTAGTTACATGGCAACGAGGTCATTCAATCATCCTCTAATATGTTCCTTAGTCAACATAAATGCATTANAGAGATGATTTTCATATAAATGTGATAGATCACCAGGCATGAAACTCTCAGATAGAATAGATGGGTATCGCTTTCAATGATGAAGCCTTCATTGTTAAGAAAAAGGAAGAAACTTAACAGTCCCTTAACATGCACACTTAACCAGCTCAAATTTGAGTATAAATATATATGAATCTTTTCATTGTCTTGAAGGAGGGTCATAGAAACGTCAAGTTAATAAGAATCTGGTTGGCAGCGGTCACAAGCATAAGTCATTATAATGGCAAGTATTACAAAGTTTATTGTATTACGCCTTGTGCCAAAGAGCTTGACTTACATAGATATTGAACTTATTTAGAGCATGTTTACCCAGGATTAAAATCCAATTTTAATTGAAAATATGGTCGTTATTAGGTCTCACTCGTCTAATAAAAATCAATAATGACGGCTAGTTTTCCAATTTTAATCTCTACCGAACACGCCCTTAATCAATCAAATATGGTCTTTTCTGATTCATTTCCTTCTCATAAATACTCTTTTATTTCTTTTCCTTTTCTAGTAGTTCCTTTCTGATCGTCTACATGATTGAATATTGATACATGAAAAAAAAAAATTTGTATACATCAAAATCTAATATTTCCCTATTGTCAGGAGAAAAACTTCTGCAACTCAACAAAGTAATTCCTCCACTAATAGTCACATTTTCATTACAATCAACGCCATAAACAAAATATTAACATCTCTTAGTTTTGTATATAAGCTAGATTTAGCACTATGGATAGCAAGTGTAGATTGGATCAAACAGCTGCTATGAATTACCACCGAGGAATAGAATATCTTTTGAATGAAAAAGTTCTCGGTTACAAAACACAAGCCGCGAAATTTAAACCCAAGTGCATCTTGTCAAACATCTAGCTTTCTAAAGCCTATTGAAGTCAATATCCATTAAAAGGATAAGAGAAAATAAAGAAAGGGAAGGTTTTCGTTTCTTTATTCAACCCAAACAATACAATATAAAACAAACCACATGAATAAAATCTTAGAGAAAGCAATGTGGTTGATAACCACTAGCCATAGAATTCTTCCCCCAGACTCTACTCTCCCTGTCTCCATCTGGGCTTTGCAGTCCACGTGTTGCAAAATGTTAAGGCATACAAAAGAAAAGAATAAAGGACCACATGGTTTCATCCCTTCTCCACGTGCAAAGCCATCGTGTGACACTACAATTAGGAGGACGAATTTATAAGATAGGTCACATCTTGCTTCTGTCCATTGTTTTTATCCAACTTTAACACTGGCAACAAGAAAAAATAAAAATTTTGGAAATCTTTCCCAGAAGTAAAACCCAGTACCCATATTCTTTTTATGCCATAACTTTTGGTATGGCAGAAGAGAGACATGAGACTGTTTTTGGATCAAGTGAAGAGCAGATACAAAGGTCCAACAAGCATTGATTATTGCTATGTGAAATAAGGTGCCACTATAGAGAGTCCCTAAGAGTACAACCCTGACATACTTCGCTAAGAAACACAAAGAAAGACAGCTTTAGCCTCAAAACGATTTTAGTAGTTTATCAAAAAATCTATATGTCGCATATATCAGTTTCCTTTCTATGCAAGAAACAATTAATGCCCTGTGAGATAAGACGCCAACTTTGTAAGTTGTAAGAGTCCCTAAGGGTGCACCCGTACAAGTACTCCAAACTTCACTACAAGGTATGAAAAAAGATAGCCTTAGCCTAAAAACAGTTCTAGAAGTTTGTCATTGTATCTATATGCCATGTGCAGTAGTTTTCTTCCTAAGTTGCAAAATTTACATTAATCATGCGCACAAAAGGTAGTCACTCTAACAAGGAAGACATTGATTCTTATTTTTTTCCAAATTTCTAGTCATGGTTCATTTGAATTAGTAAGTTCATAATCTTTTCTACCATGTCACGAACACAAATAATTATTTTGTGTGCCTGCAAAGGAAGGATCTTTTCTCCTTCAGATTGCAGAACAAGTTCAGACCCTAATCAACACATTGCAACCTTAAATTAGTACCACTTGAAGAATAAGCTAGAAAATAAAAACAAAATTGAAGATAACAACCCTCAAGGCACCACCTTATCAAAGCCCATTGCCAATGCCAACTGATAAGGATCAATCGCCTCTACATCTCGATTAGAGTCTCTATTACCTTGTATTGTTATCTTTACCACTTTGTATAGTTATCTTTATCGTTGTATAGTTATCCTCTCATTTTCA